ATCTCTTCTGGTCAATTAGGCAGTCTAGCAGCATGTGCCCGGTTCTATTTGGAACCGTCATCAATCAAACTGTTTTAGATCGTTTCGACACCCATATCTGTTTGATGTTGTGCTTTTTTTATTCTTGTCTGCCGACCTGACATGTTCAGTGTTTTCCTATACACTCGGACAATAATAGCTCAGAATTTGTCCGATTCTAGTAGTTTACCTTGCTTGAACTATCCACTTCAATTCTTTTATTGCCGAGAATCTCTTCCTTCTTATCGTGATTTCTTACAGCAATACTTCTCCAAAGCGCTAGCTCTGGCTTCTACCGAATTGGTAACAAATGTCAGGCAATTAGTGGAGGATTGGCTGCCGGCTAGAATCATTGTGAAGAATGGCCTAATATCTCGATTTTCTTTCCATCCCTCTGGAATGATTGCACAATTAATTAGGTCAGGCTGTCCCTGGATGGAACATATATTTGACCTGGAAAAGGAAGAACGGATTACCACGCAGGCTAGAGGCCCCCGCCCTTTTAGTGGGCGACCTGTATTCGTTGTCACATCTGGCGCTAGGATGTCCTCCGTCATCGCTGTCCAAATCAACGAAGATGACGAATTCTCAAAGCGGTAGGTTACGCTTGTATTCTAGACCCCATTGATATCTCTTGGACTGGATTCCAATAAGTGTTAAATTACCATGACTGAATATCACAAAGGCATGAGCTGTTTTCGCTTCCAAAATGCTCTACTTCGCGCTGTTGTTTGGAAGACGTTGTTATGCCACTGAACGCAAACTTAAAGAAAGCTACAGTGTTTGGATGTCTGCCGCTTCAGTTCAACTATGCTTAGGGTCTACACAGATTTGACGCCAGCGCCTAATTTTTCTCTCGTAAGCCTTTGCGAGACTGACCAATCGTAGGCCCTGACGACGTAATTTGCATTGGCACCAATGCCCAGCCTGTGAGAACTGAAGCTCCTGCCACTGCCCCTATCCATTATTGGTTCTTAAAATACCGAAAAGGTGTTT